TTAAATTAGTATGTGTGCTAAAATGATATATTTGCATATTGCATTGCAGTAATTATTAAGCACTATATAAAATCTTAAATAATCACAAAAATACATGTAGATAGCAATTCTTTATAACAGAAATGTACACATAATAAACTGTAAATGTGCAGGAGTAAAGCTTACCACTTCTTCATCTGAAAGCTCACGCCCTTGGATGCTGCTATTCTCTCTCACTGATTGCTGATGTTTTTTCCCCTTAATATGGCTAAAAAGATATACCTCTGAAGAGATCTAAAAGTATAAAATCAAAGCAGTGAAATCAACACATTAAGTCTAATTTTAAATATTACACATTTAATCCAGCACACACCATATACAAGTTAAGATCACTCTACCATTTACATATTAGGTCTAAAAATATTTCCCTTAGCATGTAATTCTGAGAATCCTTTACAAGATTCATGATCAAAAGGAGAATGCCATCTCCTCTAAGTTTTGAGGTTCAAGTCTCAGCACTGAAAATGTTGCCTTTCTTGTTTTGGTTCCAACACCCAAAAATATTGACTTTTAACTAACATTCAGTACTTAAACATCCATTTTAGTAGCAACAGCATGCTCTGGAACTTTGCACTGCTATTCCTAAATGCCATTACCTGTACTACTTACTCTTCATTCAAAATAATTAAAGAAATCTATGGCACTCAGCAGATGCCTTAACATGAGTTTTAAGAGACTAGAAGATTATATTCCACGGTTTCATACACTTTAGTAATAAATTTTAATATCACAATATTGATATGACAACCTACCAGGACACTGCAGAGAGAACACTGCTTCTTTCTTTCATAAGGGGTCAGCTTGGGAGCATAATCAGTATTTGCATGTCGCCCACTACTTAACTCAGCAGCTTTTTCTTTTCTTTGTTCAATCTGTTCCATGTGCCTTCGAATGCTTTCATCATGCTGCAGATCAAATCAAAGTCAAGAAATTCAAATAGTATTCAAATCATACTAAAGAAGTTTTCCAGTAAAGCTTAGAAATAATAGGGGAAGGTCTTACTTCAATGCTAACTTGCACACTAAAAACACAGGTTTACGCAAAGCCCTCTAATATCTCCGACATTCAAGGTAATGTTTCCTAAAGTATGCTCTATGGACAGTTATAGACGTTTTGTGGGAGAGGTTCCACAGTCAAATAAATTTGGAAAATAGTAAGTTAAAGCTAAGCAAGTTTTTAACATACAACTTCACAGGGGCTCTAGTATGCTGTTGTGCTCTGACTCAATAAGCTTAGTTATCAATAGGCTAATTTCATAAATTAGTTGTCCACACACACTTTCGAGAAGTATTTCCTGGAACACATAATGAGAAATGCTGACCTGTGGGTAAAACCCACACCTAGCCACATAGTAAAGCTTATTACTACATAAACCTCTACTTAGCCCCGTTCCCTTTCCAGTTGTTTTTCACCTGTAGGAACTATTCCAGAGAATTTCTTTAACCATTTACTAATCCAATTATTTAAGTACAGGATGACCAAAACTTTTTTCATTAATTTTATAATATAACAGAAATATAAAAATGATAATTTTATCAAATTTATTCAATAATTTTTCTGTGTATGATACATCTTAAAATATTCGATACACAGCACAATGTTACAATCTAGACAGTAGTATCTAGTCTCTTTCCAAATTCTTTTTGCATTGTCATCTTTCTTTGAACAACACACTTTGTGCAGTTGTGTTGGCCTTTCCTTTTTTTTCTGAGGGTGGTATAATTCCAATAAAATGTCTACCCACTAAATGTAATGGTAAAGATTATTGATGATGAACATCCTGGTTGGCCTTTTGCTATCATGTATTTTTCAATTATTTGGTCTACTAAACCTAATCTAAATTATAAATGATTTTTTGAACCCCCTGGTTTTGAATAAATAACAAACAAATTCCATATTGTTTGGTCCAGAAGGTGCATAAATACAATATTTTTTCCTTCCTTTTTGATTACAGAAATAACTTGTTAGATGTTGGTCAATTCTGTCAACATCAATCATTGACTACTACTGGAATTTTTTTAGTTTTGTTTCTTCTTTCAAGTCTACCATTTCTGTATTATGAACAGCTGACAATAAGGAGTTTGCCTTTTTTGTCTTTCCATTTCATCACACAGATTTTTCCTCTCTCATATGCTAATATTTCTCCCTTTTCAGTTTTTTCTTTTGCAGATTTTTTGGCATTTTCTTCCTATTCAATGTCAGTGTCCCAAACATGTCCGTTTTATATTGTAAAAGAGTATCAGTGAGTTCTGGAAAAGTATAAAAATTATATCTAATGTACTCACGTAAGAGTTTTTATAGATGGTAGCACAAAAATTAGAGGTTATTTTTCACAAATAAACACAAGTTAGTAAATTAAAATAACCAGAACTTATTATTAATCGCACTAGAAACACACATCAAAGGTGAATACAATATTCTAAATTTTAAAAGTATGCAAAAACCAGTCAATATAAAACAGGCATATGAGTGTATCTTGTGCAAATAAGAACTGACTGGTGAAAATGACACCTGCCCAACCGAGGCTTGTGATAGGCAGTATGTAAACATACATGTGGCCTGAGCTATGCTTGGGGTGAACTGTTAAGCGTTTAAAAGCTGTTCAGATTTATGCCACCACTCCTGGAGTAGAATCCACTCACCACCCATTCTTCTGTCCATTCAACTCAACCTTCTTTTAACATGAGCTTAGGAATTACTCCCTAAAAGTATTTCCCTGAACTCTAGCACCACTAATGTAGGACTGTGTCCTCCTCCCCTTTCAAAGCATTCCATGTACACTTCTATCTGTATGGAAATTATCTGCTGAGCATCTGAGTCTCACAATACGAGTTTCCTGAGAACTGGAATCACACATTACTCATTCATAAGTATCTGCTGCATCATAATTAAATGAATGCTAATTTCCTAGGACTACATAAATAGTAAAATATGATCTATTTTAAGTCAACATGTAAATAATTGTGATATAATGCAAATATTCATATGCTAGTGCTCCCTACATCTTGTAGTAATTGTAAAAATTTTCTAGAAAATATCAATTTATCAAGGTAGGTGCAATGGTATATGCCTATAATCCCAGCACTGTGGAATGCTGAGGCAGGAGGATCCCAAGTTCAAGCCCAGTTTAGGTAACTTAAGGAGACCCTGGCTCAAAACAAAAAAAGAGAATGTAGCTCAGTATGAGGCCCTGGGTTCAATCCCCAGTATTGCCACACACAAAAAAAAATCAATTTATCGTAATCTTCCAATCTACAACTGTGCAATTCATACACATATAAAAATGAGTATATATAAGAAACATCTTTTAGTGTATTTCATGAATAATCGATAATGCAAAATAGGAAGAAAAGGTCCAAAGGGGTAGGGGTAGTGGGAGCCACAGGGGAAAGGAAAGAAGGGAAAGGAAAAATGATGAGAAATGGAAAAAATGGAAATAAAGTCTTTGTAAATAGGGAAGGGTGGAGGGGGTGAAGGGAGGGCTAGGAATGGGGAAAAAATAAGAAACAAGATGCATTATGTAAAGGTACAATTCCCAATGAGAAATGTAATTGCGTTGTATACCTACAATGTACAAATAAAAGAATTTAATTTAAAAAAAAAAGAAACATCTTTTAGTGTATTTCAAAATGATTAAAATTTACGAATATCAGAAGCCTAGGAGTAATGTCTTTAAGTCATTTATCAATATCCAGAAATGTTAAGCTTCCTTTAATTTTTTTCCACAATGACCCTTACAACCTTACCAAACTAACTCCAGAGCTGAGTTTGAATCACAGCCCAATCATAGAAGATTTGTATCTAAAGATTAATAGAAATTAATTCAATTTTTGTTCGATATGTACAATTTTAATATCATGCTCCATTGCAAGCTCCAAAACTCCTAATTTAGAATACATGATATCTGTACCTTGAGCTGAATTTTTTTCTGTAGCTCTTCCATAGCTTCCTGCTGAGCGGCTGTGAGTGCTGCCAATCGTTCTTCCCTGTCTCTGTAAGAAGAGAGTCAACTGCTTAGAGCAATACATCACATGAAATTTAAAAATACAATTAGGACCCAAAGGCTCATATATTCTAAAGGCTCACTATTTAAAAAAAATTCTAAGTGTCTACTATGTCTCAGGTTTATTGTTCATTAAATATTTGGGAACACTAGAATTTTGTCTTTGTTTTGTTTTTTGGTGTTGTCACAACAGAGATTATTAGCTATGAAAATGGGTGTCTAGACCCAAGCAGATTTAAATATCAGCTCTGGGACTGTCATTTAAATATGGCATTTTAGGGCTGGGGATTTAGCTCAGTGGTTTTGCCTCCTGCTGCACAAGCACAAGGACCGAAGTTCAATCCCCGTAAAAAAAATGGCATTTTAGTTTCTCTGGTGTGAGAAACTGAAGGTGTAAATAAGAATCAAAATGTATAATAGATAATGTGAAACAGGAAGAAAAGATCTACAGGGGAAGAGTAGGGGAAAGGAAAGAAGGGAAAGAAAAAAATATGAAAAGAAGAAAAATGGAAACAGTCTTTGTAAATAGGGAGGGGTGGAAGGGTTGAAGGGAGGGCAAGGAAATGGGGAAAAAATAAGAACTAAGATATATCATGTAAAGGTACAAATTCCTAATGATGAATGTCATCATATTGTATAGCTAAAATGTACCAAAAAGCTTAATGAAAAACAAACACACAAACAAACAAAAGACACATTCACTGAAGGCCAACATTATAAAAGGAGAGAGACTACCACTCCCATGTAGGATAAACAGCAGTGACTGATATTCTAAATAGGTATCAATCACCTAGTTGGGGGACCAAGATCTTCTAGGAAAGATACCTGACCCACTCCTTACCACCAAAAATCCTTGCTCATTTCTTGTATGCTTGCTATGTGACTTGTTTCCCCACTGGATCCCCATTTAATCAATATTACCTAAACAACTATATTTGTCATAATCTTATTGGTTTTCATAGTTTTGTCCACCTTGTAATCTCACTGGATCAGTATGACCTAAGTGACTGTACTTGTAATCTTACTAGTTGACTACAGTTTTGTCCCACCTTCAACCCACCTCAACTCATGGCTTTGTCCCATAAAACACCTTTGAGAAGTTGGGTGAGCAGGCAACTCATTTTCTGGTCCCCTTTCTGTCTCTCTTAGACAGAAGCTATCTTTCTCTCAATAAATTTTTCCTACTCTTAAAAATAAATAAATAAATAAATAAATAAGGCATTTTGAAAATATACATTTATTTTCATTCCCTTGGAAAATACTACTAAAACTATGAGAAAAGAATAAAAAGGGCATAAACTCTCAAAGACAGAGAGAATAGGACAGGAAATGACAACATACGATGGACATCAATATTTCAGAAACTGAAAAGCAAATCTAAAAAACCTGAAATCTAGTCTGTCAAAGGGAGTAGCTAGAAAGGAAAGTAACTCTACCAGCAAAACTCCATAAAAACTCAGAAGCCAGAGAAACTACTCAAGAAAGAAGAAATAAATGTTGGGGATGGAAACAAGAAGACTGGAAAATTCTTAAAAGAACCTATAGCTGTCCTCCCCACAGTGAGGAGGCCGGGAGATGACTGCCAGAGGGGCGAACATGCAAGACCATGCATTCAAGACAACAAGGTGGAGGAGAGATGATACCATGAAAAGGAGGATTTTAAGTAAAGCTCTCCACACTGAAATCATCAAACAAGTAACACCCTTCCCCTTTGAGCACACAAAGCACTGGTAGCCAGGTTACTTCCCACTTCCCTAGACTTCCCTCAGGAATCTGTGAGGCTTAGGGCAGCCTCAGAGAAAAAGTAACAGAAAGACAGGCAAGGATCCTCTAAGTAAATGCCAATTTCCCACAGAGTGACCCAGTATTAAGTCAAGCCCCAAAATACGTTTGAAACTGCTGCTCCTAAAAAGGACAAGAGAAAAAAGGTGGGGAGAGACAGAGACAGGTTATAAACATCAGACATTTGAAGAGAATTTCTAACATGAAATCAAAGATCAAAACCACCACATAAAAATGATGCAAAAAAAGAAAAGTGTGCTGGGCGTGGTGGTACACACCTGTAATCCCAGCATTCAGAAGGCTGAGAAAGAAGGATTGCTGTGAGTTCAAGGCCAACCTGAGCTACATAATGAGTTCAAGTCTGAACCACATAGCAAGATCCTGTCTCAAAAATCAAAACAAAACAAAAGAGTAAGAAATCTAAGAAATTTTCAAAACAACTATAATTAACAACCTGAAGAAATAAGAAAATGTTATACCCATAAAACAAGATCAGGATGCTATTTATGAAAATGGAATAAAAAGAGAAAAAAATATTTATACATTTAAAATATATAAAGAGAAAAATTTAAAAATCATTAGATAAATTGAGAAAACTAAAATATTCTAGAAAGTAGAAAAATTCATGAAAGGAGAAAATAGAAGTGAAAGGATAAGAAAATTAGACTAAATTCAGGAGGTCCAACAACTACTAAAACTTTAAAAGTCTTTTTTTTTTTTGGTACCAGGGATCGAACTCGAGTCCTTGCGCTTGCGCAGCAGGCAGTGAAAACACTGAGCTAAATCCCCAGCCTTAAAAATCTTTATAAAAACATTTTTTAAAAAGGGCATGAGCTTCCAGGTTTTGAACACAGCTATCACCACAATTAATACAAACACAAAACACCTGGAACACCTGTTTCTGAAGAACCATAAACATTTAAAATTGACTTCTCAACAGCAACAGTAGAAGCTAGAAGCCAACTAATGCCTTCCAAATTCTGAGGGGAAATGATTGCCAACCAAGTATTTTGTCCCTGATCAAGTAGAAGGTGGAATAAAACACTTTCATGTCATTTTCACTGCCTCAAAAAGAAGACCCAGGAATGGTTTCTCTGTTAGCTACTCGAGAATATGTTCCAGCAAAAGCAGACTTTATTCAGAAAAAAGGAGAAATGAAGCCAGAGCCAACCAGTTCAACACAGGAGGAAGGTGAAAATAAGTTCTGAGATAACAACATTCCAATGGACCTAAAGGATCAATCCAAACTGAAGCCAAATGACACATGTATCCAAGAAAAAGTTTAAGTAATTCTGACAGAATTACTAACAAATTCAAATATGTTCGAATTGTTGGTTTCCTTTGGATGTTTGTAAATGATTCAGTGACTGGGGCATAGGAAACAAAACAAAACACAAGGCAATCATTCCATTCAGAGACAACAAGAAGTCACAATATAAAGGAAAAGATAATTAGATTATCCTAAATAGCTCAGTTTTGGAAGTAAAGAGATTGCTGAAAACTGATCTAACCAAATCAAAAATGAAGGGGAATTTTGAGTGTAAAATGGGGATATGAGAGAAAATAATAACACCTCATCATTCTTAGAAAATCAAATGATTTCTGAATAGAAAATTCAAGAAACAACAATGTAAGTATGTTACTTAGAAATATGTAAGTAAATATCGGGCAATTTAGAAACAGATATCTTTAGCTTAATGAAGCTAAAGTAGTTTGCCTTACAGAATGTTAATTGTGGTAGAGAGATATGGGGCCTGGGAATGTTATTCTTTGCTATAAAACTGATACACTACTTAACTCTATACAAATTTTATTTTGATAAATATGTTTTTAATTTTAAAATATTAGTGGTAGGCCTTCTAACTATGGAGAAGGAAAGAGATCAGTGAATCCTTTTCCAAAAAAACAGGTATAAAACATAACAAAATTGTTTTAAAAAACTTCAAAGTTCTGAAATTCAACCAAAGACAAACAATAAATTAAGAAGCACTTACTGATGCAAAACTGCACAGTTGTTTAAATACATTGTCTAAAACTGTTTTCTAATAAAGAACTAAGAGACATATATAGAAATATGGCAGGCACAAGAAAAAGCTGAGGATGAAAATCTCTGAATGAAGTCCTATGTTGTTTTAGCAAACAAAGACAACTATATGGCTATAGAGTTCTTACAAATATGCTTAAATAATTAAATGAAAGTATGCCAGAACAATTAAAGAGAAAGATGACAACAATGATTCCACAGACATGGAATCTCAGTAGAGAAATAGAAGTAGTTTTAAAATAACAAACATAAAAAAAAAACCAACTTTCTAGTAAAAGGAACCAGACCCCTAAAAAAATGGCTGATCCAAGGGCTGGCCAGGGAAAATATAAGATGAATCTGGAATATGTGTACATCAGAAAGAAAGAAAACACTCAAAACAAAACAAACAAAAAGGTGAAGTTAATCAAAAGAACCAAATAAAAGAGTTCCCAATGTCCAAATATGAAACAATCTGGCAAACAAATAATATTGTGCGAGATTACTACTTAAGAGTATGAAATAAATATAACTGAATCCATAATGATACTGTCTTTTAAAAAGCTAACAAACAAATAAACAGAGAAGTGCTGTGGCTGTCCCACAGGTTCACGCTGGAGGCCTGGTCTCTGGTGGAGCAATGCTGGGGAGTGGTGCCCAAAAGGTATCGAAGTAGTGCTCAGAAGACCCTGGTTAGTTCTAAAAGAACAAGCTGGGTGTTCCTTTTGCCCCAGCTTTCTGTCTTAACATGTGACCACTTCTCACATCCACTCCACCATGATGCCAGCCACCATGGCGTGATGCAGCCAGGGAGGGGCTAGGCTGGAGCTGGCACCATGCTCTTTGGAGCCCCCTCTAAAACTGTGAGCTAAAGACCTCTCTTCTCCACGCATCCCTCAGTCTCAGGTATTTTGGATTCCATTTGTTTCCCAGGTTGGGATTCCATCATGTTCCTCAGATCCTTTATTTTTTTATCTGTGTCCTCTCTAGAGATTTATTAATCATGTCTTGCACCATGAGCAAAATCTTTGCTGTTATCTGAGTAATTATTTCTGATTTCATTTTTCCCAGATCCTCTTTTGTT